GATGGATGATGGATGGATGATGGATGGATAGAGGATGGATGGATGATGGATGGATAGGTGGATGGATGGATGATGGATGGATAGAGGATGGATGGATAGAGGATGGATGGATGATGGATGGATAGAGGATGGATGGATGATGGATGGATAGAGGATGGATGGATGATGGATGGATAGGTGGATGGATGGATGATGGATGGATAGAGGATGGATGGATAGAGGATGGATGATGGATGGATAGAGGATGGATGGATGGATAGAGGATGGATGGATGGTTAGATGATGGATGGATGGATGGATAGAGGATGGATGGATGGTTAGATGATGGATGGATAGATAGAGGATGGATGGATGATGGATGGATGGATGGATGATGGATGGATGGATGGATGGATGGATAGATAGAGGATGGATGGATGATGGATGGATAGAGGATGGATGGATGGATAGAGGATGGATGGATGGATGGAGGATGGATGGATAGATGATGGATGAATAGATGATGGATGGATAGAGGATGGATGGATGGATAGATGATGGATGGTTAGATGATGGATGGATGGATAGGTGGATGGATAGATGATGGATAGATGGATGGATGATGGATGGATAGAGGATGGATGGATAGAGGATGAATAGATGATGGATAGAGGATGGATGGATGGATAGATAGAGGATGGATGGAGGATGGATGGATGATGGATGGATGGATGGATAGAGGATGGATGGATAGATGGTGGATGGATAGATGATGGATGGATAGATGATGGATGGATGGATAGATGATGGATGGATGGATAGATGATGGATGGATGGATAGATGATGGATGGATGGAGGATGGATGGATAGAGGATGAATAGATGATGGATAGAGGATGGATGATGGATGGATAGAGGATGGATGGATGGATGGATGGATGGTTAGATGATGGATGGATGGATGGTTAGATGATGGATGGATAGATAGAGGATGGATGGTTAGATGGTGGGTGGATGGATGGATGGATAGATGATGGATAGATGATGGATAGATGATGGATAGATGATGGATGGATGGATAGAGGATGGATGGATAGATGGATGATGGATGGATGGATAGAGGATGGATGGATGGATGGATGGATTGGATGGATGGATGGATGGATGGATGGAATGATGGATAGAGGATGGATGGATAGATGATGGATGGATGGATGGATAGAGGATGGATGGATTGGATGGATGGATGGATGGAATGATGGATAGAGGATGGATGGATAGAGGATGGATAGATGATGGATGGATGGATGATGGATAGAGGATGGATGGATGGATAGATGATGGATGGATGGATGATGGATAGAGGATGGATGGATGGATAGATGATGGATGGATGGATGGATGATGGATAGAGGATGGATGGATGGATGGATGATGGATAGAGGATGGATGATGGATAGAGGATGGATGGATGGATTGGATGGATGGATGGATGGAATGATGGATAGAGGATGGATGGATAGATGATGGATGGATAGATGGATGGATGGATGATGGATAGAGGATGGATGGATTGGATGGATGGAATGATGGATAGAGGATGGATGGATAGATGGATGATGGATGGATGGATGGATGGATTGATGGATAGAGGATGGATGGATGGATGGATGGATGGATGGATGGATGATGGATAGAGGATGGATGGATAGATGATGGATGGATGGATGGATGGATGGATGGATGGATGGATTGGATGGATGGATGGATGGAATGATGGATAGAGGATGGATGGATAGATGATGGATGGATGGATGGATGGAATGATGGATAGAGGATGGATGGATGGATGATGGATGGATGGAATGATGGATAGAGGATGGATGGATGATGGATAGAGGATGGATGGATGGATGATGGATGGATAGATGATGGATAGAGGATGGATGGATGGATGGATGGATGATGGATAGAGGATGGATGGATGGATGGATGATGGATAGAGGATGGATGGATGGATTGGATGGATGGATGGAATGATGGATAGAGGATGGATGGATGGATAGATGATGGATGGATGGATGGATAGAGGATGGATGGATGGATGGATTGGATGGATGGATGGATGGATGGATGGATGGATTGGATGGAATGATGGATAGAGGATGGATGGATAGATGATGGATGATGGATGGATAGAGAACAGTTTTATAAAAGCTGATGGTGAATTGAGAAAGTGCTCAAACATTGTTGAGAAGCTCCAGATGAGCCAGTTGGGGGCGCTAGTGTTGTGATTGTCTGTACTTCATTTAGTTCAGTGTGCGGTCTGAACCAGAACCACCAACAAATAACAGAAAATAACCCACTCGTCAAAATACTGTTTTAATACTTTGTTTGCTTTAATCTGACATTTTTTATTTATTTTTATATATATATATATATATATCTATATATATATCTCTATATATATATATATATATTCATTGTTTGTCTTTTTAATGTTACATAAAGATATTTACACTGTAAAACCAATGAGCTATAAATACAGGTGTCTGAACACAGGATGACATCATGTGACCTGTCTCTCTCTCTCTGTCGATGACGCAGATGTCAGGTGACAAGGGGATCTCAGCGTTTCCGGAATCAGATAATCTCTTCAAATGGATCGGGACCATCGATGGTGCTCAGGGGACGGTACGCACACCTCTCTGACCTGCCTGTCTCTCAGGTGTATGACCGTCGGTTTGCTCGATGTGAGGAAACTATAATGTGCGATAACATTGTTCAGTGTGTGCACGGCCCTCCAAACACAAACCACAGTAACTACAGCTTTGGCCAAATTGAGTTCTGACAGAAACTGAACTTTTAACTGTTTGATCTTGTTTCTAAGTTTAGTCTCGCTCAGTCTCAGAGAAACTCTCCCTCGCTGTAATGTTAAAGCATAGCAGACCGGTGGCGCCCTATAGCTCACCTGGTAGAGCTGGTGCCTGAGTACCCCGGGCTGTGGGTTCGAATCCGACCTGTCACCCTTTCTTCCTCTTTCCTGTCTATCTTCAGCTGCTGTATCCAATGAAGCCAAAAAGACCCAAAAAATGGTTTTGTCAACTTGGAGTTGGAGTTCACTTCAGTCTCTCAGACAGGCTGTACCTCATCATTACCTGTCTCTCTGTTACCTGTCTCAGGTGTATGACGGGCTCAGGTACAGGCTGTCTCTGGAGTTTCCGGCTGGTTATCCATATCAGGCTCCTCACGTGAAATTTGTCACTCCGTGTTTTCATCCCAACGTGGACGAACAAGGTTTCATCTGTCTCGACATCCTGAAGGACAAATGGTCGGCGCTGTACGATGTCCGCTCCATCCTGCTGTCCATCCAGAGCCTGCTGGGAGGTAACCAGTCTAACCAGTGCAGACTGTAAACTGGCTGGTCGTCGGTTCTGTCTATCAGGATTTCAGTTACACAAGTTAACTACTTTACATTTAGTACACATAGTTTCAATTAAGTTTGACTGATTTTTAAATAGTTTCGACAGCTTTTGACCATTTAAATAAATCCTCTTCTCACGATGGAAATTATTATATTTGTTTTTAAAAACTGTAAACAATAAAAAAAGATCTTTTGTGTTGCAGACAGGTTACTTTTATTTCTTGTATTTGAAATCGTTGTCAGGACCCTTCAGGATTATACAGAGATGAATGTAGATGAAAGTGAAGGAACATCCACTTTAATATATTCCAACAGTTTATGTGAATGTTGACGTGTTCTGTTTCTTCTCAGAACCGAACAACGAGAGTCCTCTGAACACAGCTGCTGCTAAACTCTGGGACGATCAGGAAGGTGAGAAACTGCTGATGCCTTCACGGACATCACCTTTACATGTTTATGTTCAAGACCAACTGGTATTTTTCATCTTTTAATGAAGTGTAGCGACGCAGCTGCAGGGCAGCGTAAAGGGGCAGCAGGGTGTGCAGGGGCTTATGGGAGTTATAGTTCTAATAGCTGTTTTGTCTCTTTCAGCCTTTAAAGCTCATCTACACTCGACCTTCCAGAAGTAAAGCATCTCTGCGTTTTCTTCTTCTGATTGTTTGTCTTCTGTGTTTGTATAATATTTTTATGTTTGTTCACCTCGCTGTATCAATAAAGTTCTTAATTCAACACACAGAAGCTGACTGACTTTTTACTGGACTAATAATTGTGAGGAATCTGCTCAGTCGACATAGCCAATTAGATTACTGTCAGACTTGCTCTGTAGTCTTATGAGGCCGCTTCTTCGCAACCGCCTTCAAGGATCAACTTACTGCCGTGTTTTATGTTGTAGAGTAAAGTGTGACTGTCTCAAGCTTCTGTTAAACACACCTTATTTCAGACATCTAACCAAAAACCGCATTCAACCCACTGACTTTCAGGAGAGGAAGTTCTGGGTTTTAAGCTTCATTCCTGCAGCACTCTATTCTCATGTTTGTTAACTCACTATTTCCTTTTATTTCTAAGAACCTCAGATTATATTCCTGTCCCAGTGGCTAGATTACTCCGTTAGAAAATCTGTGTCCTATTGCTGAAGTTTAACATTATTCAAACACAGACATGAGCAGCCCGTAATGTTGTCAGGTATGTCACTGGTGAGGTCATGGGGATGTCAGCTGCTCCCCTCTACCCGACACAGCCGAGTCCGCAGCACGGCGGCTGGCAGCAGGCGGCCATCTTGTTGTTGGAGACTACCTCAACCTCCATCAGGTCCTCCAGGCTGTCATCTAGTTCATCCATTTCACCTCGAGCTTCGGCCCATGCAGGCTGGGTGGACTCCACTGACCAGAATGCAACAGGAACCTGGAGAACGCCGAAAAGTTTAAAACAGCAAGGTGGGTACAGGTGCAAGATACGAGACACTACCACTGTTTACAAGATACTACCCCCAGAAACAACATACTCCCCTCAGATATAAGATACTACCCCCAGAAACAACATACTCCCCTCAGATATAAGATACTACCCCCAGAAACAACATACTCCCCTCAGATATAAGATACTACCCCCCAGAAACAACATACTCCCCTCAGATATAAGATACTACCCCCAGAAACAACATACTCCCCTCAGATATAAGATACTACCCCCAGAAACAACATACTCCCCTCAGATATGAGATTCTTCCCTCAGAAACAACATACTCCCCTCAGATATAAGATACTACCCCCAGAAACAACATACTCCCCTCAGATATAAGATACTACCCCCAGAAACAACATACTCCCCTCAGATATAAGATACTACCCCCAGAAACAACATACTCCCCTCAGATATGAGATTCTTCCCTCAGAAACAACATACTCCCCTCAGATATAAGATACTACCCCCAGAAACAACATACTCCCCTCAGATATAAGATACTACCCCCAGAAACAACATACTCCCCTCAGATATAAGATACTACCCCCAGAAACAACATACTCCCCTCAGATATAAGATACTACCCCCAGAAACAACATACTCCCCTCAGATATGAGATTCTTCCCTCAGAAACAAGATACTCCCCTCAAAAAAGATACTGTCTCACCCTCAGCTGCATCTCACTCAGCATGGCCTCCAGTCCTCCGATGTGATTGGTCAGATTAGGGCTCGGCTCCTCCTCCAAGGTGAGCCATGGCACCTGGACTAAAGCCACTCGGGCTGCCACGCCCACCACACCATCAATACATCCTGGAGAGAGAGACAAACGGGTTAAAGGATATTAAGGAACCAGACTGGACTCCACTGATCTTGGTTCTTTAGGCATCCTTGGCGAGGGTCTGCTGCTCCTTAAATTAGTTCCAGTAGTTCTATAGGAGGTTGTAGGGTTCTTTGAGGATGTTACAAGGAACCTAGAGAACCCTTTAAAGGTTAGAGGACTTCTTGTGCCAGATCATCTTTAAGGAGGCTCTTTGTGAAGGTCTAATGGTCCTCAACATGTACTTTCTAGGCTGTTGTATGGGTTCTTGAAAGGGTTCCTTAAGGAGGTTCTAAGGGAGGCTTCAGCTGTTTTTGAAGAGTTTATCAGGATCTGCTAGGGGGGCGCGACAGGCAGGGGTGACTGACGGAGGAGGAAGAGATGGAGAAGTTTCTGACAGGATTGAGGAGAAAAACGGAGGAGGTTTCATAGGCAGGAGAAGCAAGTAACGGTAACCGGCATAAACCTAATAAGACCAGGAAATACGACGAAGCCTACATAGCTTTTGGGTTTACCGTGAATACGGTCGGAAATGTGTGTGTTTTATGCCTAAAAACTCTGGCTGCGGACAGCATGAAACCAAATAAATCAAGACGGCACCTGGAGACCTTACACCCCAGTTATGTCAATAAGCCACTGGACTTTTTTTTTTTTTTTTTTTTTTTAAAAAGCACCATTAGCCTCGTACAAAGTTGCCCACCACAACGCAAGGTGCAAAAAAAACCTCACACGATAGCAGAGGAGCTAATACTCCTGGCAGCATTGGACATTGTCACAATCATAGGTGAGAAAAGAGACACTGAATACTGTCTCTCTCTCTAATAACACGGTCAGGAGACATATATTTGACATTACAGACGACCTCCAAGAACAACTCACAGAACATCTAACAGATAAATGTTAAATAAGTAATATTGTTGCACAAAAAAACAAACATTAAAAAGTCATATACCTTTTTGAAAAGGAATAAGCTGATGAAGCTGACAGGTGACCAATGTTTACAGTTTAAAACAGTTTTGAATGTTACTGTGTTAAGTCTATAAAAATGCACATCCCAGTGAATCATTTGCCCTTTTTTGAGAATCACACAGACTGAGCAGTCTTGTTTAAATGTTACAAATTGAGTTAATAAACTGAATTTGGAAATTGTTGTTGCAAATGTTATCTCAGCTCATTTTATTAATCTATTTTGATAATCAGGTGATTGTATGCAGAATGCTGGTGCCAGCAACTCATACAGTGGTTTGTACAGATAAATAAATAAATAAATATTATCAGGTTCTCAATAGTATTAAAATTCAGGGGGGCGTGAAAAAATTTCTGTCCCCTAGGGGGTGCATGACAGAAAATAATTGAGAACCACTGCTCTAGACTGCTGAGCAGCATCTGTTTGTTTGATCATTAAGTTGAAGATATGTAAATGTTCTGAGCCCCGCCCCCACCTGAGCCCCGCCACAGGGCCAATCAGGGAGCCACTGACAGTCCCAATCGTTATACAGCGCCTATATATAATAATAATGTATAATATATATTAATAATGTAGGACCTTGTCCTCGTCTTCCTCTACAAGAGACGCTTTATCTGTCTCTTAATTCAACAATCATCATACTATTTTGATTTTTGATGTTCCACCAGGACAGTTTTCAAGGCCTCCTCTTTCCCTTTGACCTTTTTGACCCAGGAGGGGAGGTGAGACTGTGGCGCTGACAGTCTCCTGCACAGAGAGCCTGGTTCTTTTCAGATTCTCAGATGGGATCTCTAGGTGTCAATATGTTTTATCCTCTTTAACAGAACACTGACTTCTCCACAGATCAGAACAACACCCTACACCTAAAGTGGATCGTGTGTGATAACATAAATGCCTTTTTGATTGTAAATCAGGGTTAGATATCCCTGAAATGTGTTTACATCTCTTTTAGTCTGACAGGTCCACCTCCAGAGAGAAACTCCTCTGGAATCCACATCTGGCATTCTGACACCCCTTCCTCTGAAGTGTAAATTACGATGTTTTCTTTTGATAGTGGACATTCCAATCTAGGAAGCAGTAACAACAGTTGCACGGTATAGATTTAGTTCTGTTGGAGTATTATGGTAAAATTTCATCTCCTCCTAATTAACAGATTGCCATCCAGCATGAGAAGGACGCAAATGTAATGTTTGTCTGATGTTTCTGTCATCAGATTGGACTAAGTTACAAAATCATGTGTAAAATGTCTGAATGTTTGATGGAGCCACAGTGCCACCTTTTGGTAAGGTTCTGGTATAGCGTAAGATACTTTCAAAACGAACTTGAACTGTTTTATAATTGTGTAGTATTCCAAATAGTAAATGCCTGACACATAATTTTGTAACAAGGATTAAGCTAGCACTATACGAAATATGTACAATCCCTCAGTGCTGCTTTATATGCATGTTTGATGATTAATGATTTAATGATTTTAATCAGTTCTACTTTTCCTTTACATTAAGTAATTTCAGTTATGTTATGTTAAAACATGTGAACTATGTATTAAGTCATGGTGTGTTCTGTGAACGGTGAATTATGATCTCGAAACTTTAAAACACGATAGGAGTAAATTATAAAGTTACGAATATCAAAATATCGCTGAAGGAAGTGACGCGATTAGCCTTTCCGGATACGCCTTCAGATTAAAATATATAAGGAACAGACTCCGGTCACTCCTTCTTTTCTTCGCTCTTTTTCTGATCTCTTCTGTCCTTCTTACATTTTCTTCTTTCTAAGATCCACTCGTTATTTACTCTCGTTCTTAATTTTAATTTCCGTACTTTACTTCGTTTGCGACACGTGTTGAATTTTTCCTCAAGTAATAACTTGGTGCTGAAGTACTTTCCTAAGTACTTTTATTTTGAAAGCTCAAGACAAACGAATTTCTTCTTTTATATTTTTGTAGTCTTCTCGTCAAGTATTGTCGCCTTTTCACAGAAAGTGAATTTAATCTAATTCTTGGACTTAGTTACGACGGAGAATTCGCCAGGCCAGCGTTTCATCCTCCAGTTATTTTTAAACAAGAAGCTGAATTAGTTTACAGTCAAAGGTGAAGACCAACCACTCTAAGACATTTATCATCAGCCAGAAGGACGTCACAGTAGTTGACTGCTCAAGAAGACGTATAAACGTTTCCAGCCGAATAAAGACATTATTCTCCAGCCACCGTGCCCCCAACGCTCACTAGCGCACACGCAGCGCTGGGCCTTTTGGAGAGATTGCCACTGGAACCAGGGACTACAACTCCCATCGGCCTGTTGGACCAGTGACGCAAAGCCGCAGTTGAGCTGAAAGCCAAGGACCTGAAATCCTTCCAAGTTCCATCTACAAACAAAGCAGGCTGACTCTCCGGTACACGGCCGGATTCACACACATGAAGAAGAGCTGGTGTCTTTTAAGTTTAAGAGAATTTTGGATTAGGGCCTCTCAGTTCTACAATTTACTCTCGTAATATTTTAAACTTACTGCCGCATCGCAAAATCCACCATCGCTCCTGAATCACCTAATAGTAATAATTCATTTACTGTCCACATATTCTGTTACTTGTTGTCATTTGTTTGCTTTATCATTTCATACTATTTACTCTGCATTAGTTTAGTTAATAAACATATATAACCGTATGTCCTTGTCGGTACCAGTTTGATTTGATGCGGGGAAATCGATGAATCGTGTAAAAGAAATCACTACTTCAGAAATATGAGATTAAATATAGATTTTGAAATTTGATAAATTGATTTGAAATTGATTTGATTAGATCTGTGGAATAATTTCCTCCGGATTATTTCAGTAGCTAAACAACGGAGGTGATGCCCCATTTACGAGTGTATTATTAATCACCAGTGATTAATTACCTTTCTAATTAAATAGTAGTGTAACCCCTACAATAATATATAATAATAATGCTATATGATGATTATAATATATAATAAAAAATATAATATATAACAACATATAATAAAGATAATATATAATACTAATGGTACTAATAATAATAATAATAATAGTGTTATTACTAACTATCATCAATCCAATCACAAAGTTGAAGTTATCAGCTGACCTGTGTTGACCAATGAGCGTCTGTCGTAGCGCTTGGTCAGAGGAAACTGTCCAATCAGATTGCAGGCTTTACGGAGGTCAGACACAAAGTTCTCTAACGCCGACAGGAAGAGAACCCACAGACGCTCCGACACCTGTCTGTCCTCCACACCTGAGGGGGCGGAGTCACAGTCAGACAGCAGACGCACCAGACGCCGGGACAGACCTGCAGATGGACAGACAGGTGAGAGATAGACAGATAGGTCTGCTGTCAGACAGACAGACAGATAGGTCTGCTGACAGACAGACAGACAGATAGGTCTGCTGACAGACAGACAGACAGATAGGTCTGCTGACAGACAGACAGACAGATAGGTCTGCTGACAGACAGATAGGTCTGCTGACTGACAGACAGATAGGTCTGTTGACTGACTGACTGACAGACAGACAGATAGGTCTGCTGACTGACTGACTGACAGACAGACAGATAGGTCTGCTGACTGACTGACTGACAGACAGACAGATAGGTCTGCTGACTGACTGACAGACAGACAGACAGACAGATAGGTGAGAGACAGACAGGTGAGAGACAGGTGTACCACTGCAAATTCGGTGTGCGAGAGCTCTCGTCTCGTCCATCTCATCTCGCAGGAAGCTGCAGTCGGCTGAGCTGCCGAGTGACGCTGCCAGCTGCTGGAAACAGGAAATGACCCGACTGAGAGCTTCCTGAGCACGCTCACACTCGCCCTGCTGCCGCCGCCGTGCTGCCAGCTCATCCACCGAACGACGCCAGCGACTCATAATGTCGTCATCCACCTGCTGGGGAGGAGAGACGGGTTGTTTAAGGGTTAATGTCAGTGTAAACAAACAATGAGCGGACTGAAGATGGCCGACAGATGGCGCCCGCCTGCTGCCCTAAACCCCCCGAACAGTCTCTGACAGTCTCAGAGGAACCAGAACCAGGAGCTGCTCCTCGTCCCCGGGACCAAAAGATCTGAGGATTATTGCATCCGACCAAGACTCTGACTCTGGGGATGAAGACCCGGCGGGTTCAGGCAGTGACAGGAGAGGAAGAGGAGGAAGAGGAGCCAGATTGTAGCTAGGTAATTAGTCAGTAACTGTTAACGTTATCCATCATCCATTGTATCGATCAGTCCGATTAGTTTCAGTTTAACAGGCTGCTGTTGTAGAGATTATAACCATCATCACTGTAATATCACAAACTACTGGCTTTATCAATACGTTTATCTCTGTGATACAAACTGCAGCTACTGACTGGAATTCATGTTTAATTCATTATATTGTATAATATATAATGAATATGTTATATATTATATCGCATAGTAATCATTGTATAATCATTGTATAAGTATTATTAATAAAGTAGAAGTATTATTAATTCAATTCAATTTTATTTGTATAGCGCCAATTCATAACAGAAGTTATCTCAGGACACTTTTCAAATAGAGCAGGTCTAGACCGAACTCCTTATAACATTATTTACAGAGACCCAACAGTACCACCATGAGCAAGCACTTGGAGACAAGGGCAAGGAAACACTGCCTGTTAAAAGGCAGAAACCTAGGACAGATCCTTCGGCTCTAGGTGGGTGGTCGTCTGTCTCGACCAGTTGGGGTGAGAGAGACAGACAGACAGACAGACAGACAGACAGACAGACAGACAGGTGCACAGCAACAACAGTATTGGCAATGGCAATCTAGCAGGACCATGGCAGGAGGCTCCACCAGGATCGATAAGAACCTTCAAGACGAGAAAGCACAAGAACTCCGGGGAAGAAGTGAAGTTAGTAACATGCATTAATGGAACATGAATGAGTGCAGAAAGAGAGAGGAAGAGAGGAGCTCAGTGCACCATGGGAAATCCCCCGATAGTCTAGGCCTATAACAGCATAACTAAGGGATGGTTCAGGACTCACCTGATCCAGCCCTAACTATAAGCTTTATCAAAGAGGAATGTCTTAAGCCTACTCTTAAATGTGGTGAGGGTGTCTGCCTCCAGAACCACAACTGGAAGCTGGTTCCACAGGAGAGGAGCTTGGTAACTGAAGGCTCTGGCTCCTGTTCTACTTTTAGAGACTATAGGAACCACAAGTAGCCCAGCATTCAGAGAACGTAGTGTTCTAGAGGGGTAATAGGGTACTATGAGCTCTTTAAGATATGAAGGGGCCTGACCATGAAGAGCTTTATAGGTGAGGAGGAGGATTTTAAATTCTATTCTACATTTTACAGGGAGCCAATGCAGAGAAGCTAGTACAGGAGAGATGTGATCTCTTTTTCTAGTTCCTGTCAGTACTCGTGCTGCAGCGTTCTGAATTAATTGGAGCGTTTTAATGGACTTATTGGGGCAACCTGATAATAAAGAGTTGCAGTAATCCAGCCTAGAAGTAACAAATGCATGGATTAGTTTTTCTGCATCTGTCTGTGATAGGATGTGTCTAATTTTTCTAATATTACGTAAATGAAAGAAGGCGGTCCTAGAGGTCTGCTTTATGTGGGAGTTAAATGACAAATCCTGATCAAAGATAATTCCTGACAGTGGTGCTAGAGGCCAAGGTAATGCCATCTAGAGTAACTATATCTTTAGACAGTGAGTCTCTAAGGTTTTTGGGGCCAAGAACAAGAATTTCGTTTTTTTCTGAGTTTAACATCAGAAAATTGCAGCTCATCCAGGATTTTATGTCCTTAAGACATGTTTGTAATTTAGATAATTGATTAATTTCATCAGGCTTGATTGATAGATATAACTGCGTATCATCTGCATAACAGTGAAAGTTGAGTGATTCCTAATAATGTTGCCTAAAGGGAGCATATATAAAGTAAATAGTATTGGTCCAAGTACAGAACCTTGTGGAACTCCATGACTAACTGTAGTATTTATTGAAGATTCATCGTTAACATGTACAAACTGAGAACGATCTGATAAATATGACTTAAACCAGCTTAGTGCGGTTCCTTTAATGTCAATTTGATGCTAAAGTCTCTGTAAAAGAATATTATGGTCAATGGTGTCAAATGCAGCACTAAGATCTAATAATACAAGTACAGAGACAAGTCCATTGTGAGAATAATTAATTAATAAAGTATAAGTATTATCAGTATTAGAAGTATTATTTATAATGTATTATTTATAAAGTGTTATTAATAAAGTATAATAAAGTAGAAGTATTATTAGAATTAGAAGTATTATTTATAAAGTATTATTAATAAAGTAGAAGTATTATTAATAAAGTAAAAGTATTATTAGTATTAGAAGTATTATTTATGAAGTAGAAGTATTATTAATAAAGTAGAAGTATTATTTATAAAGTAGAAGTATTATTAATAATGTAGAAGTATTATTAATAAAGCAGAAGTATTATTAATAAAGTAGAAGTATTATTTATAAAGTAGAAGTATTATTTATAAAGTAACAGTATTATTAGTATTAGAAGTATTATTTATAAAGTAGAAGTATTATTTATGAAGTAGAAGTGATATTTATAAAGTAGAAGTATTATTTATAAAGTAGAAGTGTTATTTATAAAGTAGAAGTATTATTTATAAAGTAGAAGTATTATTAATAAACAGAAGTATTATTTATAAAGTAGAAGTATTATTAATAAAGTAGAAGTATTATTTATAAAGTAGAAGTATTATTTATAAAGTAGAAGTGTTATTAATAAAGTAGAAGTATTATTTATAAAGTAGAAGTATTATTAATAAAGTAGAAGTATTATTTATAAAGTAGAAGTATTATTAATAAAGTAGAAGTATTATTTATAAAGTAGAAGTATTATTTATAAAGTAGAAGTGTTATTAATAAAGTAGAAGTATTATTTATAAAGTAGAAGTATTATTAATAAAGTAGAAGTATTATTTATAAAGTAGAAGTATTATTAATAAAGTAGAAGTATTATTAGTATTAGAAGTATTCGATAAGTGATGTTCCTGTTTCTGTAGTTCCTGCTGTCGGCCTGTAGGGGGCAGCTGATGAGTTTTTAGGTGTTTGTAAGGTTCAGTGTGTGTTTGTGTTGGAGCTCAGCTGCTGATTATTTATTATTATTCTGATTTTAAATAAAATAATTAAATTAAATAATTCATCCTCATGTTATCTTAAAGAACTGGTGTTAGAGTCAGTCCACATTCATGGTTATTAATGGATAAATTAATGGATTATACACACGTTAAGGCTTTTAAAGGAGAGACAATGTAACATTTGCCAAATAGAAAATTAATTAAGAAATTGAATTACATATAATATATTTATATACATTAATGAATGAATGTGATTTATTATCCATTATATAAAGTATATAAACAGTTTTATTGTTACAGTAAATATTAAAAGGACTTTCTGTCTAAACAATAGATAATCAATAATGTTGAACAGTTTCAGTCCTGATCTTAAAACACGTTCAGTCTTTGAATAAAGAATAAAATCGTCCTACCTGCTGCTGATCACGACTACATCCACCTTGTTCTTCTTCTGTGGTTGAGGACCGTGCAACCTCAGGCAGGTTTCTATAAACACTTGTTCTTCCTCTCTGGGGACCGTCAGTGTTTTTAATTAAGGCTCAGAGACCAGCTGAGGCCCCGAATCCTCTCGGTCCCTGGAGCCTCTTTATTTTACCCTCAGCTCTGCCTCGCAGGCAATCCTCACCTGTCCAGGTAGACTGCGTCATGTCAGGGTTATTTATACCCACATGGACCCGGCCATTGTTCTGTAGACTGACTCACACAGGTGTTCAGTCTGTTATTGAACCAAGTGCTGAGTCATATTGGGTCACGTCATCAAACACTGAACTGTCCATCATAAATGCTAATGCTAAAGCTACATATGTAATTATAATAATACCGTTTCATTAACATTAGAATCATCATTTATTACTCGTTACTATTCTGAAGTAATAGTACTTTACTTAATACACCATTACAGTAATCAGTTACACTACTCGTTATGAAACTACAGAGTTGTGTCAGCGTGACTCAACTAATGAAGAGACGACAGAACTTCTGTTATTTAGAGATTATTTTTAACCTCCTGTAGATACCCACCATTAAAACTAATAATGTAAATATAAGTTTAAGATATAATATAATATTTAAGATATTGTAAGGTTGTACCTGATTATAGCTTTGGGGGGTAACTGTGATATTATTGTAAATAATACTTTTCCAGTCATGGAAACACCTGGAAAATAATCTCTGTTGTCCTGGAACATTTGAACAGTACTTTTATTGATTTTCTTATTTTTTCCAGTTCATTAAAAAACATCACAAATATGATATATTTTATTTATATATAAATTTACTGAGCGGCTGATAATGTATCTGTCCCTAATAATAAATCAAATAATAATAAACTACATTTGTGATAATTATTGGATATATGTGGTCTGAAAGGGTCTACTTACCACATTATTAACATTATATCATATAATCGTACAAATAACTTGATATAGAGGCACGAGTCGGGGGACAAACACCCAACAGGTTATTATTATCATTATTAAACATCCAGAAACAGAATTTAAAGTGTGTGAACACATTGTACATGAAAACATTATAAAGGCTGAACTATGTGTGTGCTTTACGCTGTAGTGGTATAAAATCTATTGTGCTAGCGTCGGTCGAGTTATTACAACTGTTTTTTACCCGCCTGTTACAGGCATTTTCTTATTACCCACAACCTTTGCTAACTAGTGCATCTTCCCTGGATGTGAGACACTGCAGAGCATCTTTAGAGAGGACAACCCTAACCCTGAACCCTCCTGTTGTCTTGGGGTCATTCTGACCCCCAAAAAATGTTTTGCTGTCAAAATGTGTTTTTTTTCATCAAACGGTCTGAAAATAACAGGAGTTGAATTATGGTGTCATTATGACACCTGTTGTCCTCTGGGGTCAAAAAGACCCGACAGCACAAGTGGTGCAATGGGGCATATTGTCACACCATACTGCTAAACAAGCGTACACACACCCCCCCCACACACACACAGCTTTGATGTGTCAAAACATCAAAGGTGATGGATCAAGCAATTCAAACAAAACAGGTCTTTTTTCAGAGATGTTGGAGCATTTCACATTTTAGTCAGGACAGGCAAGACAATCACGAGGCAGAAGCGCAGGAAGCTCATGAGATCATTTTTGACCTCACCGATCTCTCCCTCACCAAGCTCAACCTCACCGATCTCTCCCTCATCAATCTCCCCCTTACCAATCTCTCCCTCACCGATCTCCCCCTCACCGATCTCCCCCTCACCAAGCTCAACCTCACCGATCTCAACCTCACCAATCTCCCCCTCACCGATCTCAACCTCACCGATCTCCCCCTCACCCAGCTGTCCCTCCTGGCCCATCACTCAAAAGGGGCAGATGCAAATTCTCCCCTTGCCAGAGTGATCTGAAAACCTCCCCAATATGCCAAAAATGCAATGCATACATCTGCAAAGATCATTCCATCACTACCTGCCTCGCATGCTACTGAGGGTTAGTTTGGAAAAGTTAAACATTTTGTAAATTAATGTTGAAATGTTGTATATATGTCAGTTAATGAGTTGAATAAAGTTGACTAAAAAGTTTAAACACATAGGTGGGTGATAATATATACTTTATGCTATCAATAAGATATATATATCCAGAAAACGATGTGGGCTTCATTGATAACTGGAAGCCTTTTTGGGGAAAACCTGGTCTGATTAGGAGAGACGGCATCCATCCCACTTTGGATGGAGCGGCTCTCTTATCTAGAAATATGGCGAAGTTTATCTCTAAAACCTGACAGTCCAGAGTTGGGACCAGGAAGCAGAGCTGCTGTCTTACACACTTCTCTGCTCTTTCTTTAGAACAGTCACCCACCCAAAACCCCATAGAGACTGTGTCTGTCCCCCGACCACCTAAATTATTTAAAGAAATAAAAACAAGAGGAGTTCAACATAAAAATCCAATAAAAATTAAAACTAATTCCTCAGTAGCACAAAATAAGAGAATGAAATGTGGGCTGTTAAATATCAGGTCTCTGTCCTCTAAAGCTGTTTTAGTGAACGAATTAATATCAGATTATGATATTGATTTACTTTGTCTTACTGAGACCTGGTTGTCCCACGAGGAGTATGTTAGCCTAAATGAATCCACCCCCCCAGTCATATTAATACTCACATTCCTCGAGGCACTGGCCGAGGAGGTGGAGTGGCCGCCATATATGATTCGAGTGTTTTAATGGACCCTAAACCTAAACTAAATTATAATTCATTTGAAAGTCTTGTTCTTAGTCTTTCTCACCCAAACTGGAAAACACTGCAGCCAGTTCTATTTGTTATAGTGTACCGCGCTCCTGGACCGTACTCTGATTTTATATCTGAATTCTCAGAGTTTCTATCAAGTTTAGTCCTTAAATCAGATAAAGTAATTATTGTAGGTGATTTTAATATTCATGTGGATGTTAACAATGACAGCCTAAGTAATGCATTCATATCATTAATAGACTCAATTGGCTTCTGTCAGAGTGTAAATAAACCAACTCATTGTTTTAATCACACTCTTGACCTTGTTTTATCATATGGCATTGATATTGAACATTTAATAGTCTTCCCACATAATCCTTTCCTATCTGACCATTATTTAATAACTTTTGAATTCATACTATTAGATTATAAGCCATTAGGCAAAACTTCCTACAGCAGATGTCTATCTGACAGTGCTGTAGCTAAATTTAAGGAGGAGATTCCTTCAGTGTTTAATTCAATGCCATGTCTGAATTTAACAGAATCCTATAACGACTTTAGTCCCTCTGAAATTGATAATCTTGTCGATAGTGCTACAGGCTTACTACGATCAACATTAGACTCTATCGCTCCTATAAAAAGGAAATTATTAAAACATAGGAGACTAGCACCGTGGTACAACCACCAAACCCGCCAGTTAAAACAAATAGCTAGGAAATCTGAAAGGAAATGGCACTCTTCCAAATTATCAGAATATCGCTCAAATTGGCAAGATGATCTTAAGATTTATAGAAAGGCCCTCCGTAATGCCAGAGGAGCCTATTACTCAGCACTAATAGAAGAAAATAAGAATAACCCTAGGTTCCTCTTCAGCACTGTAGCCAGGCTGACAGAGAGTCACAGCTCTATTGAGCCACATATCCCCATAAACTTAAGTAGCAATGACTTCATGAGCTTCTTCTATAATAAAATTATTACTATTAGAGAAAAAATTAATCACCAACTGCCATCAATAGTTATCAGTGGCTCTCCAAGTTCAGGGACTTCTGTCAATGTAAATTTAGATATATATTTAGACTGTTTTTCTGCTATCGATCTTCATCAGTTAACTTCAATCATTTCTTCATCGAAGCCATCAACCTGTCTATTAGACCCGATCCCAACTAGGCTGCTTAAAGAAGTTGTTCCCTTAATTGGCACTTCTTTACTGGATATGATTAATCTTTCTTTATTATCAGGATATGTACCACAGTCCTTTAAAGTAGCTGTAATTAAACCCCTTCTTAAAAAGTCCACTCTTGACCCAGGGGTTTTAGCCAACTATAGACCGATTTCTAACCTACCCTTCCTCTCTAAGATTCTGGAGAAAGTAGTCGCCAAAGAGTTGTGTGACTTTCTACATAACAATAGTTTATTTGAGGATTTTCAGTCAGGATTTAGAGTTCATCATAGCACAGAGACAGCTCTGGTTAAAGTTAATAATGACCTTCTGACTGCTTCTGACAATGGACTTGTCTCTGTACTTGTATTATTAGATCTTAGTGCTGGATTTGACACCATTGACCATAATATTCTTTTAGAGAGACTTGAGCATCAAATTGGCATTAAAGGAACCACACTAAGCTGGTTTAAGTCATATTTATCAGATCGCTCGCAGTTTGTACATGTTAACGATGAATCTTCAATAAATACTACAGTTAGTCATGGAGTTCCACAAGGTTCTGTACTTAGACCAATACTATTTACTTTATATATGCTCCCTTTAGGCAACATTATTAGGAATCACTCCATTAACTTTCACTGTTATGCAAATGATACGCAGTTATATCTATCAATCAAGCCCAATGAAATTAATCAATTATCTAAATTACAAACATGTCTTAAGGACATAAAATCCTGGATGACCTGCAATTTTCTGATGTCAGACTCAGAAAAAAACGAAATTCTTGTTCTTGGCCCCAAAAACCTTAGAGACTCACTGTCTAAAGATATAGTTACTCTAGATGGCATTAACTTGGCCTCCAGCACCACTGTCAGGAATCTTGGAGTTATCTTTGATCAGGATTTGTCATTTAACTCCCACATAAAGCAGACCTCTAGGACTGCCTTCTTTCATTTACGTAATATTAGAAAAATTAGACACATACTATCACAGACAGATGCAGAAAAGCTAATCCATGCATTTGTTACTTCAAGGCTGGATTACTGCAACTCTTTATTATCAGGTTGCCCCAATAAGTCCATTAAAACGCTCCAATTAATTCAGAACGCTGCAGCACGAGTACTGACAGGAACTAGAACTAAACTGCACTCATTCATGTTCCATTAATGCATGTTACTAACTTCACTTCTTCCCCGGAGTTCTTGTGCTTTCTCGTCTCGCAGGTTCTTATTGATCCTGGTGGAGCCTCCTGCCATGGTCCTGCTAGATTGCCATTGCCAATACTGTTGTTGCTGTGCACCTGTCTGTCTGTCTCTCTCTCGCTCTCTCTCTCTCTCTCTCTCTCTCTCTCTCTCACCCCAACTGGTCGAGACAGACGACCACCCACCTAGAGCCGGAGGATCTGTCCTAGGTTTCTGCCTTTTAACAGGCAGTTTTTCCTTGCCCTTGTCTCCAAGGTCTTGCTCATGGTGGTACTGTTGGGTCTCTGTAAATAATGTTATGAAGAGTTCGGTCTAGACCTGCTCTATTTGAAAAGTGTCCCGAGATAACTTCTGTTTTGAATTGGCACTATACAAATAAAATTGAATTGAATTGAATTGAATAACAGTCAAACCAGGTGGGGTCATTTTGACCCCAGAGGACAAAAAGGTGTCATAATGAGCTGCCATTAAAAAAATTCATATGATTCAAAAACAGCATCCTCACTAAACTGTGACATATACCTCTCTGTGATGAGTCAAAGGACCAAAGGTGTATGGCAATCGGGAAGACAATACGAGGGTTAAATAAAGTATTGGTAAACAAAATCAAACAACGGAGATAAAAATATAAGTTAAAAGTTGAAAAAAGAAATGCACGGTGGACACACAGCATCAACTTCAAGGAAGATAAGAACCATTTTACAGTAAAACCAATTGTATAATATGATTTACCGTGTCATCATATTATGTATAATTATTATATATATGTAACAGTCACATTGAGTCACATTGAGTGGAATATGATCTCTGAAACCAGACTCAACTAAAGTCTCCTTGGACATGGTTGTTAAAACTGATACCGGCCTTCCAACATCTGATTCACTATTTTTGTTAAGAATGGGAACAAGCCGGTCTCTCTTCAGTTCACAGACCCTGACTTACATACATTTATTATTTACTATATGAAATATACGATAGAAATCGGGCTGCAATAAGATTCAAACCAGTTGCTTTATTTGTGGGAAATGCAGCCAGATATCCCCTTACCTTAATCGTTTATATTTCTTTGTTTATTGTTGTTCATTGTTTATCAAGGAAAATTCTTGTATGTGAAAACCTGATTCTGATTTTTGAATTGAAAAGTGAAAATATTTGTATATAAATTATTATACAATATAGATAAATATATCTGTGTTAGGTCACCAACAACAGCGATTGAACGAGCTTTACAGCGCAGCTGAACAGTGTCAGCAGCTCTCCTCCTGGTGGCGCCACAGAGCAGATCAATGATCTTTCATAAACTGCAGCGCTCTAAAGATGATGTCCCGCAGGATGTGGAAATTTAAGACTCAATACTGAGTCAGTCCCAGGTTTTCAGTCCTGGTCCAGTCCAACAGCGGTTGTTCACTACTTATGGCGGTTTGTGGTCCTCAGACACATCTGCGTTCAACAAAAACAATATCTGGTTATTTACACTGAATATAAAATATAATGTATCGTAATCAAACACCAATCAATCAGTAATCAATCAATTCAGTGAGTCTGATGTTTATTTTATCACAGAAACAAATGGAGCTGATCACATGCTCTATCAAAACAGAACATTATAGCTTTATTGAACATGTCAAAACAGAAATGTCAAATGAAAGATAATACATCTATATAACTACATATATATAATGAAAGTGTAATGTGGCTCCTTATCAACCTCTCCTAATGTTCCTCCTCTCCTGTACTTAGATATGCTACATGCTAAGCTAATCTATGTTGAAAAGACAACCACATTTTGAAGATGGTTAAAAGATAAAAGAGACATTTATATAGTCACATCTTAAGTTCGCTAATGTTAGCAAAACGCTAGCTATCAAGTCAGCTAACGACTGATGTAGTTAGAAACTCTTTTGCCAAGACTCAACTTTCCTCATTCAGCATATACTGCACTCAGGGCCGGCCCAAGCCTCCATGGGGCCCTAAGCAAAATTAGATTTTGGGGGCCTCTATTACTGCCAGTAATAATGATTATTGATCATTCACACACCTATATATATACCTACTATAAACTAAACATATTCTACTTATTCTAATCTGTCATTACAAATACACTTGTAAAGCTATATGTGAGAACTTTTTGTTGCAGTTAGATTGTAATCCACTGTGATTAATGCCATGGAAGCAGACACCAGATTTGCAAACTTACAGAAAAATCTTTCAATTAATATTTGGCAAAGTCAGCAACTCCCCCTACTGGCCACACAGAGAATCAATACATAAAAGCTCAAAGAGCAGCCCGGCATGTTTTACCCATCTTTGGTTTTTAATCTGAAATGGTAGCAAATTCAGCTACAAGAGCAGCCTGGGGTTGATTAACACTTAATATTCAAAGTGATATAGTACTAAGTGGGATACCAAATGTCATCTAGGCCAATTAAAAGTAACAAAATAGACTAATCGTTTACTGTAAACACAATCTGCTTTATTATTTTTTTTTTTAAATAAACTGCAACACCAAATGTACAAAAACAGACAGTATTACATAAAATAAATTTTAAAAAATCTGACAAATACTAGGTACAAGCTAACACAAATGGTTTATAAATAAAATATAAAGTTAAATAATTACGTCTGAAAACTATGTAAAAAATGTGCAAAAGCTTTGGTAAAAATGGGGAGAAAATTTCTAAATAAACTACAGCAATCCAAACTTCTGTTTTTTATGTTACTCTATATTCTTCCTCAATACTCCATCCACTGCTTAGAACCTGTGATCCTGGCTTTTCTGGAGGCAAAGTCATTTATGACATCACTGTAAGAAATCTGATGGCCAACTTTGTTGTTTATACTCATCACTGCCAGTCCACTCAGTCTTTCTTGTGCCATGGATGATCTCAAGTAGTTCTTGATTAACTTGAGTTTGGAAAAGCTCCGTTCTGCAGACGCAACAGTGACAGGGAGAGTGCAGGCTATCAGTAGAGCTACCCAAAGATTTGGGTACAACTCACAGATCTCATTTTGAGAGAGGTAAGTGAGCAGCTCAAATGGGGTGATCTGTGCTTTGGGGAGTTCTGGAAGGTTCTCCATCTCTGTAGCCAGTTCACTCCCATCAATATCAGCCTGTTCCCCTAAGGTGAGTTTGTCTCCAAGAAGTTTACACCTCCTTGTCTGTGCATCAAGCTGGCCAAAGTTGAGAAGCACTCCAAAATGGCTTCTGACTTCCCCTAGGGACTGAAAGCGGTCCTCTAAAGACCGGATGCTACAGTCTACTACAGCATTAAAAAAGGACACTTCCAGCCTCTTCATTGCACCAGCTTGTGGCTCATCAGGCATCTCATAGGCAAAGTGCCTTTTTGTGGTTCACAACCTCTTCTGCTTCAGCACTGCTACAGTGTTCACAAGGCACATAAAAAGCATGTGGATTTTTTTTTAAAAGCCTAGCCTGCACACCTTTATTTGCACCTTTCATGTTTGCACCGTTGTCATATGATTGTCCCCTACAGTCCTCAAAGGAGATGTTCAATTCTTCAAGCCTCTGAAGAATTAGTTCAGACAAGCCTTGACCTGTAGATTCAGGAGCTACAAGAAAGCCCAAGAAGTGTTCCTTTATCTCTGGTGTTTTGCCAAGACTTAGAGTGCGGACAACAACAGACATCTGTTCTTGATGACTTACATCTGGGGTGCAATCCAATATTATCGCACAATATTTAGAATCCTTGATTTCTGACACCATTGTGTCCAGTATTGAAGAATTGTTTTCCCCAAATATGTGATATGCTCAGCTCCACTGTCAATTCGTCTCACGTGATCTTTCAACACTGGATCAAATTTAGCCATGAGTTCCACTTCTTTTAGAAAGTTCCCATTGTTGGCCTGATGTAATGTGTCAACAGATCCCCTGAGTGCCAGGTTCCTTTCTGCCAATGACTGGATAATGCTGATTAAACGTGTGAAGACATCTCTCCAGCGATTCTTTTCTGCCTCTAAGAGGCCCATTTCTGTTTCATCAATAGTTTTCCCCTTTGAAAGACGCAAGGCAAATTCCTTCCATTTAACCATGTTGCTACAGTGATCTCCACTGTTTTCATGCTGTTTCAACAGTGCACCTATGTTGACCCAATCCTGCTGTCCCTCAGTTGCCAGTTTTATGGACTTTTTCGAGAATAATTTGCAGCAAAAGCAATAGACCGCATCTTTACTTCTTGAATATGTGAGCCAGCTCCGCTTTACTTTTTCCCCATTTACAAGGTGTCTGTATGTGTAATGATGGTGGAAGCTTCGGCCATCGTGTCTTCTTGGGAGTATGAATGTGTCCTCTATAGGCAGTGGCTCTCTTAATACCTGTTCAGTCCTTTCCGAGTCTGACGAGAAAGAGGGACACTCAGCTGGGTCAACTGGCAGAGCTGCTGATCCCTGCTCCAAACTGGATGCTGAAGAAGACACATCAATCTTGATGACCAAAGATGAAGGACCTATAGGGAAATTAAAATAATATTTTTGGACAAAAGGATTCATCTAAGAATATTCTGCAGTACACTGAGCAATTATAAGGCTGTTTTGTTGTTAACTTACCAGGTACAGCTGAGGTTACAGAAGACACAGTGGGCACAGTGGATGGAGCAGAGGATAGAGATGGACCTAAGATGAAAAACAACAAAAACAAAAGCTAGCCATGTTATAGTCATATTACACTTGAAAGTGATGCAGCTTATTTTCTAAATAAAAAAGTACAGCTATAGCTTGTAATAAGAAAACAAACTGCCAGTGGAACAACTGAAAATTGTTTGAGAAGTTTATTGAAAAAATATTCATCTCAGAATATTCTGCAGTGCACTGAGCAATTAAAGGTTGTTCTGTTGTTAACTTACCAGGTACAGCTGAGGTTGCAGAGAGGACAGTGGGCACAGTGGATGGAGCAGAGGACAGAGATGGACCTGAGATGAAAAACACGTCCCTTGTCATATGACTATATCTTATATTAGTATATCTTAATGAGATCATTTGACTAGAAATGAAATATATATGGTGACAGTGTTTGATCACCTGATTCATCAGCCTTGGCTGCTCCTGAGGAGGTGGATTGCCCCTGGGCTGAGTCAGTGCCTCCTCCTAAATACTTTAACAGTGCTCCTGGGGAAGTTTCATATAACGTATGAGCACAATAGGGAGTTGATGTAAAAGGAATATGTTTATTTACTCACATAAATTACTGTGCTCTGCAGCAAACAGTTGCAAACAACATACCTCAAACTATAAGTTAACTAAATGAATTCATTAATGCAAAACCATATTGCTAGCAAACGTCACCGCGTTTGTAATTAACGTTAGTTATTAAACATTTGCTATCAAACGTTGTTATCAAAAATATTGTTTTGATGCCAAAAAGCGACCCAGAATAATATAAATACACTGAGAATCAACGTATTCAAAGTATTACACAAACACAACAACGTTAGCTTGAATAGTAAACTATCTAACCCATAAGAGAGAAGTAGTACGACGAACTAATGTTAGCTAGCAAATTTGCTATTATAGGCTAACATATTTGGAACAAAATATCAACAAATGTAACATTACCAAGACATACCTTTATCTTGTCGTTTTTTCTCCTCTTCCTCTTTCTTCCTTTTTCTTTTTTCTGCCCCTGAAGGTAACGTTAAGTCCTTTTTGTGACATCTTTCAGCTGCTCCTAGCTCCTGGATGCTCAGTGTGCACTGTACGGTTGGGAGCTCTGCACACGGTACTAACAGAGCTTTAACAGTTCGAGCAGAGAGGCAGTAGGAAACTACTCTCTTTGTTGTTGGGGTTTTTTTTGTACAAGAATGTACATTTTATAATATATGAATCATCATCACTCACACATGGAAAAAAAATATTGTTTTTTTCTTTTTTAAGTTAATTGCTCTTGGGGGCCCCCTAGTGGTCACAGGGCCCTAAGCAGCTGCTTAGTTCGCTTATGCCTCGGGCCGGCCCTGACTGCACTCAATAAAGCTAGGCTAACACTTTCCCTCTGCTTCCAATTGTTTTGCTAAGCTAGGCTAGCAATGGTGGCGCTCTCTGTGTACTGAAATAGGAGGATTTAATAAACATCACACTCACACAAATTAAACAGATTACAGGTCAGTGTGCACTGTACAGCCCTCTGAGCGCTCTGATTGGCAGACAGGATCCTGCTGTTGTTTCTGATATAAAATAAATGTTCTCAGTCGGACCAGCAGGAGGCGACAGAGACAAAAACCTTCACAGTAAAACACCAGAGAGACAATGTCCTCATCTCCTGGTCTTGATCAGGGTCCTGTACTGCGAAGCAGGATTTGGGGTTAGAGAGGTACCTTCAGGTCTTCAGTTCAGTTGCTCACTTCGTACCAAGACCATCGGCATGGTAACTGATGCTGAACACGGAGCAGGTTGTGTTCGAGATCAGAAAGCACAAGAACTCCGGGGAAGAAGTGAAGTTAGTAACATGCATTAATGGAACATGAATGAGTGCAGAAAGAGAGAGGAAGGGAGGAGCTCAGTGCACCATGGGAAATCCCCCGATAGTCTAGGCCTATAGCAGCATAACTAAGGGATGGTTCAGGACTCACCTGATCCAGCCCTAACTATAAGCTTTATCAAAGAGGAATGTCTTAAGCCTACTCTTAAATGTGGTGAGGGTGTCTGCCTCCCGAACCACAACTGGAAGCTGGTTCCACAGGAGAGGAGCTTGGTAACTGAAGGCTCTGGCTCCTGTTCTACTTTTAGAGACTATAGGAACCACAAGTAGCCCAGCATTCAGAGAACGTAGTGTTCTAGAGGGGTAATAGGGTACTATGAGCTCTTTAAGATATGAAGGGGCCTGACCATGAAGAGCTTTATAGGTGAGGAGGAGGATTTTATATTCTATTCTACATTTTACAGGGAGCCAGTGCAGAGAAGCTAGTACAGGAGAGATGTGATCTCTTTTTCTAGTTCCTGTCAGTACTCGTGCTGCAGCGTTCTGAATTAATTGGAGCGTTTTAATGGACTTATTGGGGCAACCTGATAATAAAGAGTTGCAGTAATCCAGCCTTGAAGTAACAAATGCATGGATTAGTTTTCTGCATCTGTCTGTGATAGTATGTGTCTAATTTTTGTAATATTACGTAAATGAAAGAAGGCAGTCCTAGAGGTCTGCTTTATGTGGGAGTTAAATGACAAATCCTGATCAAAGATAACTCCAAGATTCCTGACAGTGGTGCTAGAGACCAAGGTAATGCCATCTAGAGTAACTATATCTTTAGACAGTGAGTCTCTAAGGTTTTTGGGGCCAAGAACAAGAATTTCGTTTTTTTCTGAGTTTAACATCAGAAAATTGCAGGTCATCCAGGATTTTATGTCCTTAAGACATGTTTGTAATTTAGATAATTGATTAATTTCATCGGGCTTGATTGATAGATATAACTGCGTATCATTTGCATAACAGTGAAAGTTAATGGAGTGATTCCTAATAATGTTGCCTAAAGGGAGCATATATAAAGTAAATAGTATTGGTCTAAGTACAGAACCTTGTGGAACTCCATGACTAACTGTAGTATTTATTGAAGATTCATCGTTAACATGCGAGCGATCTGATAAATATGACTTAATCTGACCAATCAGTGACATCGCCATTCAGAGCAAATCTATTAATGATTACCTTCTAATAACGCATCCAGGAGAAGATCCCATGGAGCGGACGCACCACTACAAACCGCCTCAGAAACACCTCAACAAAGCAGAACAGCTGCTTCACCTGAGGAGCTTCTGCGAGCAGCGATCGAATGTTTAACATCCAAACATCCTCCTGCAGACTCCCCAGGACCAAGGAACCCTACTGACCTCTTTCAGCTCTGGTTTTATGTTGTTCTTGCCGCTCGGGACCAACCAACCATAACAACACATGCACTCGGAGGTCCTGGTAGCTCACCTGCTCAAGGGTTCTGGCTGGAGCAGCCACGGGTTCGAGTTCGACCCATCACCCTTTGCGGCATCTCTCCCCTTCCTGTCTGTCTTTATCAATTAAAGGCATCGGCTTCAGTATAGACTCTCTCTCTCTCTCCCCCTGGTGGCTGACTGCAGTATAGACTCTCTCTCTATCTCCCCCTGGTGGCTGACTGCAGTATAGACTCTCTCTCTCTCTCTCTCCCCCTGGTGGCTGACTGCAGTATAGACTCTCTCTCTCTATCTCCCCCTGGTGGCTGACTGCAGTAGAGACTCTCTCTCCATCTCCCCCTGGTGGCTGACTGCAGTATAGACTCTCTCTCTCTCTCTCCCCCTGGTGGCTGACTGCAGTATAGACTCTCTCTCTCTCTCTCCCCCCTGGTGGCTGACTGCAGTATAGACTCTCTCTCTCTCTCTCTCTCTCTCTCCCCCTGGTGGCTGACTGCAGTATAGACTCTCTCTCTCTCTCTCTCCCCCTGGTGGCTGACTGCAGTATAGACTCTCTCTCTCTATCTCCCCCTGGTGGCTGACTGCAGTATAGACTCTCTCTCTCTATCTCCCCCTGGTGGCTGACTGCAGTATAGACTCACTCTCTATCTCCCCCTGGTGGCTGACTGCAGTATAGACTCTCTCTCTCTATATCTCCCCCTGGTGGCTGACTGCAGTATAGACTCTCTCTCTCTATCTCCCCCTGGTGGCTGACTGCAGTATAGACTCTCTCTCTATCTCCCCTGGGCTGACTGTAAGACTCTCTCTCTATCTCCCGGCTGACTGCAGTATAGACTCTCTCTCTCTATCTCCCCCTGGTGGCTGACTGCAGTATAGACTCACTCTCTATCTCCCCCTGGTGGCTGACTGCAGTATAGACTCTCTCTCTAACTCCCCCTGGTGGCTGACTGCAGTATAGACTCTCTATCTCTCTCTATCTCCCCCTGGTGGCTGACTGCAGTATAGACTCTCTCTCTATCGCCCCCTGGTGGCTGACTGCAGTATAGACTCTCTCTCTCTCTCTCTATCTCCCCCTGGTGGCTGACTGCAGTATAGACTCTCTCTCTCTCTATCTCCCCTGGTGGCTGACTGCAGTATAGACTCTCTCTCTCTCTCCCCTGGTGGCTGACTGCAGTATAGACTCTCTCTCTATCTCCCCCTGGTGGCTGACTGCAGTATAGACTCTCTATCTCTCTCTATCTCCCCCTGGTGGCTGACTGTAGTATAGATTCTCTCTCTATCTCCCCCTGGTGGCTGACTGCAGTATAGACTCTCTCTCTATCTCCCCCTGGTGGCTGACTGCAGTATAGACTCTCTATCTCTCTCTATCTCCCCCTGGTGGCTGACTGCAGTATAGACTCTCTCTCTCTCTCCCCCTGGTGGCTGACTGCAGTATAGACTCTCTCTCTATCTCCCCCTGGTGGCTGACTGCAGTATAGACTCTCTCTCTCTCTCCCCCTGGTGGCTGACTGCAGTATAGACTCTCTCTCTATCTCCCCCTGGTGGCTGACTGCAGTATAGACTCTCTCTCTATCTCCCCCTGGTGGCTGACTGCAGTATAGACTCTCTCTCTCTCTCTCTCTCTCTCCCTGGTGGCTGACTGCAGTATAGACTCTCTCTCTCTCTCTCTCTCTCTCTCTCCCCCTGGTGGCTGACTGCAGTATAGACTCTCTCTCTCTCTCTCTCCCCCCCCTGGTGGCTGACTGCAGTATAGACTCTCTCTCTCTCTCTCTCTCCCCCTGGTGGCTGACTGCAGTATAGACTCTCTCTCTCTCTCTCTCTATCTCCCCCTGGTGGCTGACTGCAGTATAGACTCTCTCTCTCTCTCTCTCTCTCTCCCCCTGGTGGCTGACTGCAGTATATACTCTCTCTCTATCTATCTCCCCCTGGTGGCTGACTGCAGTATATACTCTCTCTCTCTCTCTCTATCTCCCCCTGGTGGCTGACTGCAGTATAGACTCTCTCTCTCTCTCTCTATCTCCCCCTGGTGGCTGACTGCAGTATAGACTCTCTCTCTCTATCTCCCCCTGGTGGCTGACTGCAGTATAGACTCTCTCTCTCTCTATCTCCCCCTGGTGGCTGACTGCAGTATAGACTCTATCTCTCTATCTCCCCCTGGTGGCTGACTGCAGTATAGACTCTATTAGATCTCTCTATCTCCCCCTGGTGGCTGACTGCAGTATAGACTCTCTCTCTATCTCCCCTGGTGGCTGACTGCAGTATAGACTCTCTCTCTATCTCCCCCTGGTGGCTGACTGCAGTATAGACTCTCTCTCTCTCTCTCTATCTCCCCCTGGTGGCTGATTGCAGTATAGACTCTCTCTCTCTCTCCCCCTGGTGGCTGACTGCAGTATAGACTCTCTCTCTAACTCCCCCTGGTGGCTGACTGCAGTATAGACTCTCTCTCTCTCTCTCTCTCCCCCTGGTGGCTGACTGCAGTATAGACTCTCTCTCTCTCTCTCTCTCTCCCCCTGGTGGTTGACTGCAGTATAGACTCTCTCTCTCTCTCTCCCCCTGGTGGCTGACTGCAGTATAGACTCAGTAGACGATCACTACCGCACAGACTCTGGCTCCGAATGGAGAAAGACTGCATCGGAGGTCTCCGGATATTCTGGTTCATTTCTGGGAGCAAGTAAACCCAAATATAAAAGAAAAATACATCTAATGAACACATTAATTTAATGGAATACACTCAGATGTAATTACAGACTCTTAACGATGGGGCAGTAATCTTATGAGAATATTAACTTACACATTCAGTGTTTTTACACCAAATTAGTTCTGGTTCTTGAACCTAGTTCTGTTCAGGATTCTTGGAACCGTTTCCACCAGTTTAGAGTGGAACCATTGTAATTGGATGCGTCATCAACAGAGGGCGCCGCACCACCACCTGTACAATATGACACGCCCACTTTGGTTCCCTGATATCTTCTGTTTCCAAATAGAAACCAATTTTTCAGGTTCTGAACTGATTCCTTTTTGGTCAAAATGCTCCGAACAGTTCAAAACCATGTGAGCGGATCCAGTTCTCTGTCAGTTCTGTAATATCCAGCAGACTCCTGCAGGTCTTTGATTGGTCGGATTGTATGTGAATGGTGTGATATGGTTGGATATCATAGCTGAAAACCACCATCGTGTGACCACTTAGCTTGATGATGGTTGTTACACTGAAACTCCACCGGGCACAGCTTTATGTCACACCCATAACCTGGTTTGGCGCTATCATCCCACTAGAGTTTTTGAGAAGTGGAGCATCTTCCTGCCCGACTGTGTTGATATTGTGGGGAGTGGTTGTGGCTCAGGAGGTCCACTGATCAGAAGGCTGTTGGTTCGATTCCCGGCTACTAAACCCCCAACTGCTCCTGATGCTGAAGAATACTGAGTGGTCAGAAGACTACAAAGGAACTATATAAGTATTATATCAGTGGAGTCTGCACAGGGTACTTTTTTTGAAAATTGACCGGATTGTGGACGCTGTTTCTGTGTCGGGTGGGTAGCAGCTTCCATCACCAACAGACTAGCTGCGTACAACAGGTGCACAGCTGGAACGTGTGGTGGCTGCGCCCGGTGGATTCGGTCCGGGTCAGTGAATCCAGATAACGGAGAGATATTCTGGATATTAGGAACCTGCTTCATTGTACAGGACTCTGGTGGTTCTGGTGTTGATATGTTGCTGTGTTCTTATTGTCACGGCAGCGTGTCACGTTGTTATCGTCGCCACAGCACTGCAGTGTTGTTATTGTCACGGCAGCGTGCGTGTGCGTGCCGCGAGTGCCTCATCCAGCTCCTGGCACAGACACTGACAGAACCCGTAGAGGACGAGCAGTAGCAGCGTGGAGGGAACCAGACTGACCAGGACCACGCCAAGCCAAAGCTGACCGATCATCAGCAGGTAGATCCCCAGAGGCAGAGAGCTGAAGTACACCTGTCCAAACACATCACACACACCTGTCAGCTGCTCCGTCTCTACATGCTCTTACTGGTTTGACTGGTTTTAGAGTACTGACCAGGCAGAGTGCCCCCAGCAGGCAGCGGGGGAAGCTGCGAGACGTCCAGGCACGACACTTCTGAGCTGGCAGGTTGCAGGGCAGGGAGTCCAGGCTGGGGGGGCGGTACAGACCCACCACATTGAGCATGCTCAGTGAGTCAGAGGATGGAGACTCCTCAGGGAGCTCCATGATGGTGATGACCAGACAGTCTGAGGAGCGGTGAGACGACTCCACGCCTCCTCCTCCTGACAGAGAGACAGACAGACAGAGAGGAGTTTAAATTAATTAAACTGGAGCACAGGAACATTTAGAGAATGAACTCGAGTTATTTTACCGGTCAGACTGTTCGGACTCAACACCACCTCTCCTCCTCCTCCTCCTCCTCCTCCTCCTCCTCCCCCTCCTCCTCCTCCTCGGCGGGCTCGGTCCTGACACGACAGAACAGCCAGGATGTGTCTGTCATCCTCCATCAACCACACCTGAAGAAGGAGACAGAGGCAGGAAAATGGTGAATGGACTTTACTGATGTAGTTCCTTTCTAGTCTCAACCACTTAAAGCTCTTTTACTCTACAGTCACATTCACTCATTCACACACATTCATGCAGTGGGTCAGCATGAGGAGCAGTTTGGGGTTCATTATCTTGCTGCAGGACACTTCTACTAATGTAGTCATGTGATGCATTTTCAGGCGTGTTGATCTAGACATAGATCGTTGTGTGGATCTAGCCTGAAACTCTCTCCTCCTGGTTAATAAAATAAAGTCTCACTTCCTCATCGGGGACATGGGTCTCATGGCGACAGAAAGGACAGCTGATGACGGAGGGCGAGGACTCTCCTGAAAACCAAACAGAGGAGAGTCACAGGATCAAAACAACAGTCAACAACAAGTCAAGTCTGAATTGGCCCTGTCTGACTGTAAAGTCAGATTCAGTAATGTTTAACTGACAGGTGAACTCACCTATGTCGACCATCTTCTTCAGACATTTGGCACACACTCGGTGCAGACAACCCAGCAGTTTGGGTTTCCGGCTGCGAGTGTCGTAGCGATTGTAGCAGATTTTACATTCAAGTTCCTCCAGAGTGTAAACCAGAGACTGAGCCCAGGTCTGCACCTAAGCGCACCACAACAAAGAGATAATAATTCAATTCAATTCAATTCAATTTTATTTGTATAGCGCCAATTCATAACAGAAGTTATCTCAGGACACTTTTCAAATAGAGCAGGTCTAGACCGAACTCTTCAACATTAATTACAGAGACCCAACAGTACCACCATGAGCAAGCACTTGGCGACAAGGGCAAGGAAAAAGCTAATAAACACACTGAAATAAACAGATAATAACTATAAATACTGAAATAAACAGATAATAGCTATAAACCCACTGAAATAAACAGATAATAACTATAAATACTGAAATAAACAGATAATAGCTATAAACCCACTGAAATAAACAGATAATAACTATAAATACTGAAATAAACAGATAATAGCTATAAACCCACTGAAATAAACAGATAATAACTATAAATACGGAAATAAACAGATAATAACTATAAATACGGAAATAAACAGATAATAACTATAAACCCACTGAAATAAACAGATAATAACTATAAATACGGAAATAAACAGATAATAACTATAAACCCACTGAAATAAACAGATAACTATAAACCCACTGAAATGAACAGATAATAACTATGAATACAGAAATAAACAGATAATAACTATAAATACTGAATAAACAGATAATAACTATAAACCCATTGAAATAAACAGACAACTATAAACCCACTGAAATAAACAGATAACTATAAATACTGAAATAAACAGATAACTATAAACACACTGAAATAAACAGATAATAACTATAAATACTGAATAAACAGATAATAACTATAAACCCATTGAAATAAACAGACAACTATAAACCCAGTGAAATAAACAGATAACTATAAATACTGAAATAAACAGATAACTATAAACACACTGAAATAAACAGATAACTATAAACCCACTGAAATAAACAGATAATGACTATAAATACTGAAATAAACAGATAATAACTATAAATACTGAAATAAACAGATAATAACTATAAACCCACTGAAATAAACAGATAATGACTATAAATACTGAAATAAACAGATAACTATAAACACACTGAAATAAACAGATAACTATAAACCCACTGAAATAAACAGATAATAACTATAAATACTGAAATAAACAGATAACTATAAACCCACTGAAATAAACAGATAACTATAAACACACTGAAATAAACAGATAATAACTATAAATACTGAATAAACAGATAATAACTATAAACCCATTGAAATAAACAGACAACTATAAACCCACTGAAATAAACAGATAACTATAAATACTGAAATAAACAGATAACTATAAACACACTGAAATAAACAGATAATAACTATAAATACTGAATAAACAGATAATAACTATAAACCCATTGAAATAAACAGACAACTATAAACCCAGTGAAATAAACAGATAACTATAAATACTGAAATAAACAGATAACTATAAACACACTGAAATAAACAGATAACTATAAACCCACTGAAATAAACAGATAATGACTATAAATACTGAAATAAACAGATAATAACTATAAATACTGAAATAAACAGATAATAACTATAAACCCACTGAAATAAACAGATAATGACTATAAATACTGAAATAAACAGATAACTATAAACACACTGAAATAAACAGATAACTATAAACCCACTGAAATAAACAGATAATAACTATAAATACTGAAATAAACAGATAACTATAAACCCACTGAAATAAACAGATAACTATAAACACACTGAAATAAACAGATAACTATAAACCCACTGAAATAAACAGATAATAACTATAAATACTGAAATAAACAGATAATAACTATAAATACTGACATAAACAGATAATAACTATAAACACACTGAAATAAACAGATAATAACTATAAACCCACTGAAATAAACAGATAATAACTATAAATACTGACATAAACAGATAATAACTATAAACACACTGAAATAAACAGATAATAACTATAAACCCACTGAAATAAACAGATAATAACTATAAACACACTGAAATAAACAGATAATAACTATAAACACACTGTAATCAATAGATAATAAACAGATAATAACTATAAACACACTGAAATAAACAGATAATAAACAGATAATAACTATAAACACAGAAATAAACAGATAACTATAAACACACTGAAATAAACAGATAATAAACAAATAATAAACAGATAATAACTATAAACACACTGAAATAAATAGATAATAAACACACAATAACTATAAACACATTGAAATAAACAGATAATAAACAGATAATAACTATAAACACGGAAATAAACAGATAATAACTATAAACACACTGAAATAAACAGCTAATAAACAAATAATAAACAGATAATAACTATAAACACACTGAAATAAACAGATAATAACTATAAACCCACCTTTCCTTCCATCTCCCGTCCAGACTCCGACTCTTTCAGCTGGCTCATCCTATTGGCTGTCGTCTTTACCTGAACCAGGAGGGTGAGGCAGGGTGGGCAGAGCTTAGCTCAACCTGAGGCCGTCACCTGACTGAAACAAAAATCAGTACTACAGAGTAAAAGTACTCTTATCAATAATCAGTACTACAGAGTAAAAGTACTACGTGTTGTCTGGTCCTACCTGACTCCAGATCAGCTGATCCGTCTCACATTTTGAGAGGACGTCCATGTGTCTAACCTACAAACAGACAGGTCAGAGACAGACAGGTTAGTGAGACAGACAAGTTGTGCACTTACAGTGAAGCTGTTTCTCAAATAAATGCTTTTATTTTGATGGGATTTCAAAATAAAATGATCTGTTCTGTGTAATATTACAGGCAGTGTGAGTGTGCGTATTTATAGATTGCAGCAGATGTTACGTAACCACAGAGGGGACACTGGGAGGCTGAAGTTGCTATGGCAACAACTATCTGCCGGAACCTCCGATATCAGCCAATCAGACTAATCAAATATGATCACATGTTAGGGAACAGCTGGCACTTTATTTCACTTTGTTCTTTATTTCAGTTTATAATTGTATTAACGCAAACGTTGGATCCTCAGAATTTAATCTGCAGTGTTCCACAATGTTACTACCATGTTCTACAATGTTCTACAATGTTACTACCATGCTCCACAATGTTACTACCATGTTCTCCGGTGTGTGTGAAGTGTTCTACAATGTCACTACCATGTTCTACAGTGTGTATAAAGTGTTCTTCAGTGTGTATGAAGTGTTCTACAATGTATAAAGTGTTCTATAGTGTATTTAGCGTTCTACAGTGTGTATAAAGTGTTCTACAGTGTGTATGAAGTGTTCTACAATGCATAAAGTGTTCTATAGTGTATTTAGCGTTCTACAGTGTGTATAAAGTGTTCTACAGTGTGTATGAAGTGTTCTACAATGCATAAAGTGTTCTATACTGTATTTAGCGTTCTACAGTGTGTATAAAGTGTTCTTCAGTGTGTATGAAGTGTTCTGAGATGTATAAAGTGTTCTACAGTGTATAAAGTGTTTTACAGTGTATAACATGTTCTACAGTGTGTGTGAAGTGTTCTACAGTGTATAAAGTGTTCTACAGTGTGTGTGAAGTATTCTACAATTTATAAAATGTTCTACAGTGTATAAAGTGTTCTACAGTGTATAAAGAGTTCTACAGTATATAAAGTGTTCTACAGTGTATAAAGTGTTCTACAGTGTGTGTGAAGTGTTCTACAATGTATAAAGTGTTCTACAGTGTATAAAGTGTTCCACAGTGTATAAAGTGTTCTACAGTGTGTGTGAAGTGTTCTACAATGTATAAAGTGTTCTACAGTGTGTATAAAGTGTTCTACAGTGTGTGTGAAGTGTTCTACAATGTATAAAGTGTTCTACAGTGTGTATAAAATGCTCTACAGTGTATAAAGTGTTCCACAGTGTATAAAGTGTTCTACAGTGTATAAAGTGTTCCACAGTGTATAAAGTGTTCTACAGTGTGTGTGAAGTGTTCTACAATGTATAAAGTGTTCTACAGTGTGTATAAAATGCTCTACAGTGTATAAAGTGTTCCACAGTGTATAAAGTGTTCTGCAATGTGTTCTAAAGTGTATAAAATGTTCTACAGTGTATAAAGTGTTCTACAGTGTACAGAGTGTTCTACAGTGTATAAAATGTTCTAAAGTGTGTATAAAATGTTCTACAGTGTGTATAAAGTGTTCTACAGTGTGTATGAAGTGTTCTACAATGCATAAAGTGTTCTATAGTGTATTTAGCGTTCTACAGTGTGTATAAAGTGTTCTACAGTGTGTATGAAGTGTTCTACAATGCATAAAGTGTTCTATAGTGTATAAAGTGTTCTACAGTGTATAAAGTGTTCTATACTGTATTTAGCGTTCTACAGTGTGTATAAAGTGTTCTTCAGTGTGTATGAAGTGTTCTGAGATGTATAAAGTGTTCTACAGTGTATAAAGTGTTTTACAGTGTATAACGTGTTCTACAGTGTGTGTGAAGTGTTCTACAGTGTATAAAGTGTTCTACAGTGTGTGTGAAGTATTCTACAGTTTATAAAATGTTCTACAGTGTATAAAGTGTTCTACAGTGTATAAAGAGTTCTACAGTATATAAAGTGTTCTACAGTGTATAAAGTGTTCTACAGTGTGTGTGAAGTGTTCTACAGTGTATAAAGTTTTCTACAGTGTGTGTGAAGTGTTCTACAATGTATAAAGTGTTCTACAGTGTGTATAAAATGCTCTACAGTGTATAAAGTGTTCCACAGTGTATAAAGTGTTCTACAGTGTATAAAGTGTTCCACAGTGTATAAAGTGTTCTACAGTGTGTGTGAAGTGTTCTACAATGTATAAAGTGTTCTACAGTGTGTATAAAATGCTCTACAGTGTATAAAGTGTTCCACAGTGTATAAAGTGTTCTACAGTGTATAAAGTGTTCCACAGTGTATAAAGTGTTCCGTTTACAGTGTGTGTGAAGTGTTCTACAATGTATAAAGTGTTCTACAGTGTGTATAAAATGCTCTACAGTGTATAAAGTGTTCCACAGTGTATAAAGTGTTCTGCAATGTGTTCTACAGTGTATAAAATGTTCTACAGTGTATAAAGTGTTCTACAGTGTGTGTGAAGTGTTCTACAATGTATAGTGTTCTACAGTGTATAAAGTGTTCTACAGTGTGTGTGAAGTGTTCTACAGTGTGTATGAAGTGTTCTACAATGTATAAAGTGTTCTACAGTGTATTTAGCGTTCTTCAGTGTGTATGAAGTGTTCTACAGTGTATAAAGTGTTCTACAGTGTGTGTGAAGTGTTCTACAGTGTGTATGAAGTGTTCTACAATGTATAAAGTGTTCTACAGTGTATTTAGCGTTCTACAGTGTGTATAAAGTGTTCTACAATGTATAAAGTGTTCTACAGTGTATTTAGCGTTCTTCCGTGTGTATGAAGTGTTCTACAGTGTATAAAGTGTTCTACAGTGTGTGTGAAGTGTTCTACAGTGTGTATGAAGTGTTCTACAATGTATAAAGTGTTCTACAGTGTATTTAGCGTTCTTCAGTGTGTATGAAGTGTTCTACAGTGTATAAAGTGTTCTACAGTGTATAAAGTGTTCTACAGTGTGTGTGAAGTGTTCTACAGTGTGTGTGAAGTGTTCTACAGTGTATAAAGTGTTCTACAGTGTGTGTGAAGTATTCTACAATTTATAAAGTGTTCTACAGTGTGTATAAAATGTTCTACAGTGTATAAAGTGCTCTACAATGTATAAAGTCCTCTACAGTGTGTATAAAATGCTCTACAGTGTATAAAGTGTTCTGCAATGTGTTCTACAGTGTATAAAATGTTCTACAGTGTATAAAGTGTTCTACAGTGTACAGAGTGTTCTACAGTGTACAGAGTGTTCTACAGTGTATAAAATGTTCTAAAGTGTGTATAAAATGTTCTAAAGTGTGTATAAAGTGTTCTACAGTGTGTATAAAATGTTCTACAGTGGGCGCCCGGTTAACTCAGTTGGTAGAGCTGGTGACCCATGTGCCAAGACTGAGTCCTTGCTGTAGCGGCCCAGCGTTCGAGTCCGACCTGTGGCCCTTTGCTGCGTGTCATCGCCTCTCTCTCTGCCCCCATTTCCTGTCTACCTTCGGCTGTCTCTATCAATTAAAGGCAATAAATAGCCCAAAAAATATATACTTTAAAATGTTCTACAGTGTGTAAAATGTTCTACAGTGTATAAGATGTTGTACAGTGTCTAAAGTGTTCTACAGTGTATAAAATGTTCTACAGTGTGTAAAGTTTTCTACAGTGTGTATAAAGTGTTGTGCAGTGTGTATAAAATGTTCTTCAGTGTATAAAGTGTTCTACAGTGTGTAAAATGTTCTACAGTGTGTAAAGTGTTCTACAGTGTGTAAAGTGTTCTACAGTGTATAAAGTCTTCTACAATGTATAAAATGTTCTACAGTGTGTATAAAGTCTTGTACAGTGTATAAAGTGTTCTACAGTGTATAAAATGTTCTACAGTGTATAAAGTGTGACACTGTGTAAAATGTTCTACAGTGTGTATAAAGAGTTCCACAGTGTATAAAGTGTTCTACAGTGTGTGTGAAGTGTTCTACAGTGTGTAAAGTGTTCTACAGTGTGTGTGAAGTGTTCTACAGTGTATAAAGTGTTCTACAGTGTGTAAAGTGTTCTACAGTGTGTAACGTGTTCTACAGTGTATAAAGTGTTCTACAGTGTGTGTGAAGTGTTCTACAGTGTATACAATGTTCTACAGTGTATAAAGTGTTCTACAGTGTATAAAGTGTTCTACAGTGTGTGTGAAGTGTTCTACAGTGTATACAATGTTCTACAGTGTATAAAGTGTTCTACAGTGTATAAAGTGTTATACAATGTGTAAAGTGTTATACAGTGTATAAAGTGTTCTAGTGTGTATAAAGTGTTCTAGTGTGTATAAAGTGTTCTACAGTGTATAAAGTGTTCTACAGTGTGTAAAGTGTTCTACAGTGTATAAAGTGTTCTACAGTGTATAAAGTGTTCTACAGTGTGTATAAAGAGTTATACAGTGTGTAAAGTGTTCTACAGTGTGTAAAGTGTTCTACAGTGTATAAAGTGTTATACAATGTGTATAAAGAGTTATACAGTGTATACAATGTTCTACAGTGTGTAAAGTGTTCTACAGTGTGTAAAGTGTTCTACAGTGTATAAAGTGTTCTACAGTGTGTAAAGTGTTCTACAGTGTATAAAGTGTTATACAATGTGTAAAGTGTTCTACAGTGTATAAAGTGTTATACAATGTGTAAAGTGTTCTACAGTGTATAAAGTGTTATACAATGTGTAAAGTGTTCTACCGTGTATAAAGTGTTATACAATGTGTAAAGTGTTCTACAGTGTATAAAGTGTTATACAGTGTATACAATGTTCTACAGTGTATAAAGTGTTCTACAATGTGTAAAGTGTTCTAGTGTGTATAAAGTGTTCTACAGTGTATAAAGTGTTCTAGTGTGTATAAAGTGTTCTACAGTGTGTAAAGTGTTCTACAGTGTATAAAGTGTTCTACAGTGTATAAAGTGTTCTACAGTGTGTAAAGTGTTCTACAATGTGTAAAGTGTTCTACAGTGTATAAAGTGTTCTACAGTGTATAAAGTGTTCTACAGTGTGTAAAGTGTTCTACAGTGTGTAAAGTGTTCTACAGTGTGTAAAGTGTTCTAGTGTGTATAAAGTGTTATAC